TCCTGTCTCCAGTAAAATTCTGATTTAGCGTGTGTTCAAATAGACCGTGCGTAGTTCCACGTCTCTACCAACTGACCATTCAAAATTATCCTCTCATCACTTCAATTGAATAATTAAAACAAAAAATTTGTAAATTTGTTGTGTTAAGTCAGTACAGAACAAGGTGGAGTCATTTCAGAGGATTATTTTTAATGAAATATAGGACAAATTAAGAAAAATACAGATTTACTCCTCCTTTATCTTGCGTGTGGATATTTTATTCACCCTTAACGGTCACCAACAGGCGACTGCTGTGAAACGCAAAAATCAGGTTACTCTTTTTTGCTTTTGTTCTCGTGTACTTTCAAGCATTATAAGCTTATTGTAGTGTTTGAGGTTCTCATGGCGGCGAGTCTGGGGATGGCCGTCTTCTGGGTTCTTCGTATGCTACGAGTTGAGACCACGCTGATTGATTTTATTTGCAGATGTAATGGATGACTTATACAAAATGAAACATCCAAAAACTAAATTACCATCACCAATGATATCTGATAATCACCACGCCATCATCATGAAGAATGCGGATCGGCTCAACTCTGCCATTATATATGACAGAGATTTCAGTTACAACTATTTTGGTTTTAAGGTAATTTATTCCTAGCTTTGGAATTTCTCTGAAATGCTGTATTGATACAATATTGCAAACAGATGATATTACTACAGTTCTTGATTATAAATTTTAATTTGTTTGTAATAGTAACTAATTAAATTATTATTATTTATAGATAACTACTGTATGGGAAGATTATTTTAATTGCATTCAATAGGATTTACTGCTGCAAAAAATACTGATTTCAAAATTAATTTCTGTTCACGAACGTATGGGAAGTTCATTATGTGATTGAAATATTTACAGTTTATCTGTCAGCTTTAGCTCTGAGTTTTGCTTTCATAATTGCCAAATCTTATAACATTATTGGTACAATAATCAGGATCGTGTATGCGAAATTTGTACAGACGCTGGAGCGTTCCTACCTTCTCCGCATCGACGGAAAAGTGGTAGAAAGACCTCAGCACATGTTGATGCGGGTTTCTGTGGGTATCCATGATGAGGATGTGGATGCAGCCATTGAGACATATAACCTGATGTCAGAACGCATATTCACTCACGCGTCACCTACCCTGTTCAGCTCTGCTACTCCACGACCCCAGTTGTCTAGGTACATTAATTTTTTCATTTCTACTTTTTTTTAAGTGGTTTTGTCGTACGTGCATATAGGGTACATGTCACTGCAAATTATACATTTTTGTTGTTGTTTGTATACCTTTTATTATGATACCATTTATGTGTACATACAGAATATCCTGGATTGACCGTGTAACCAACAAAAAAGTTCTTGAGAAACTCCGCAAAGACGTCGAGGTTGTTGACACCATAAAAAAGAGAAAGTTGGAATATTACGGTCATATCACGAGAAATGGTGATAGATACGGGCTGCTTCAGCTGATAATCCAGGGGAAAAGTATTTGGAAAGAGGGGGCCTGGCAGGCCAAGAATCTCCTGGCTTCAGAACCTAAAAACTTGGTTCTCGATGTCCACTGGAGGGCTGATTCAAGTAGCAGTCAGTAAAGCTCAAATTGCTATGCTGATCGGAGCGGATAGGCACTTTAAGAAGATTCATTTTGAACACTGATATGGATGCGTTGTTTGAACAGTGTATTTAATTAGCCTTTTTTAACGTTACCGCTTGACTCCATTAGTTTTATTTTAAATTTAAATACCCAGAAACTGAGCCGATAGCAACACACACTGTCTTATATGGAATGGCCGAAATACTGAAATTTTCACCAAAGATTTGTTTTGCTTGTAATTTTCAAAACAAATGTTTCACATACTGATAATTTTTAGTTCTGATTGTACATGGATTAAAATTAAATTTACTTTTCACATTGATACAAATGTACATTTTTAAACATGTATGTTTACTTGATTTGGTTTTAATATTAAAATTTGATAAAAAAATTATGTTACAGTTGTTTCTTGCTGGCAATGAAGGACGACAGCATTGAGGGAATTTATGACACACTGAAACAATGTGCACTGATTTCTAAGTCTGCTGGTGGAATCGGACTCCACATCCATAATATCCGCGCTACAGGCTCGTATATAGCTGGCACCAATGGCACTTCGAATGGCATTGTGCCTATGTTGAGAGTTTATAACAACACAGCACGATATGTGGACCAAGGTGGCAATAAGGTGTGGAACAGTAAAATTGCATGTTTTTCATTATCACAGCTGTGGAGCCATTTAGTTCATGCCCAGAGTAATCCATGTGGAATTTGTGGTGGATGTGGTGCCCATGATTTATGAGTATAAGTGTTTAATTGATGGTCCTGCGCGGTCTGAGGCATCATGCTTCGGACTGGTGATATGGAATCCGCGCTGGTTCGAGTCTCGGGGAAGAAGAAATTTTCTCATGAGCTTTCGACCGGTGCCAACCCAACATCGTGAGGAAATTGGGGAGCTACAATGAGTAGCGTAATCCGGTCAGGAAAACTAGCAATGGCTGGGGGTTCGTCGTGCTGACCACGCGTCACCCTGTATCTGGTTGGATGATCGTTCACCTCTGCTTAGGCATGTGAACGAGAGGCCAGCAGCCAGCTAGTCGGCTTTGGCTCTCAGAGGGCTGTTACGCCACGGATTATTATTTATTTAATCGATGGTTAAAGAATTCATCACTTATCGAGACCAGTTGATATTCCTAGAACATATTGCTTTATTATTTGTGATGAGTATGTGTGTTCTATCTCATTTTCAGCGTCCAGGAGCATTTGCCATTTATCTGGAACCCTGGCATGCAGATGTGTTTGAGTTTCTTGACCTGAAGAAAAACACGGGGAAAGAGGAAATTCGAGCTCGGGATCTTTTCTATGCTCTGTGGATTCCTGATCTATTTATGAAGCGAGTGAAGAACAACGAGATGTGGAGTCTGATGTGTCCGCATGCTTGTCCTGGACTTTCAGACTGCTGGGGTGACAAGTTTGATGACTTGTATACTAAGTATGTCAGATAGAATTAGAAAAACTCTGTTTACTAGTGTAATGAAGTACGTTCTTTATTCAATTCATTTATTATCCAAGGAATAACAGAAACCCAATTTTCTCACTATTTTCTTGTAAATTACAGTGCAGTAGTGTGTGTATATACAACATGTTTAAAAAACAGTATATAAATTTCTAATTTTATCCTCTCTTGTATGAGTAGACATGTTTGTAAACATTATAAACATAAAGAACTGTATTTTTTCCACGGTAAAAAATTATATTTACGGAAGTTGGTAAAGTCCATGCAGAGCAAATTGCACGCTTGAAGGCCGTGAAAGGACATTGTCCTCCTCATATTGTGCAGCTCTGAGTCACTAATCGTCGCCCTCAGTAGACTAGTAGTTAGCGTGCTCGGCACTGGACCCATGGTTCGCGGGTTCAAACCCAGCTGAGGTCGATGGATTTTTAAAGGTGATAAGAATCCGTAGCACAACTTCCTTCAGAGGGGAAGTAAAGCCAGCAGTCTCGTGTCGTAGATTTACGGCATGTAAAAGAACCTTATGAGCATGAACGAGATGTTTCGTAAGCAATATTCAACGGCCATTTCTCACCCAAGTCTCTCCTGATTATCTACTAGATGGCTCTGGCAGTCAAATCGGGATTGAGTAGAAATTGTGCAGTCAGTGGGCTCGTCACTCGCTACTCACAAATGCACGCTTCAAAGACTAGGAAACCTCTGTAGAGGTAGCCAAGACCCACACCAGGTTTTTTCTTATTTCTTAAAGTCTGTGGTTATGGAATGGACCTTTGAGATTCCATTAATGTGGGTATTGAGCAGGTTTTCGTTTAAATATAAATATACACGACTTCTTTTGTCTTATTAGGTATGAGTCGGAAGGTCGATTCATGAGACAAGTGAAAGCACAGGCACTTTGGAGTGCCATCTGCGAGTCTCAGATCGAGACTGGCACACCATATATTCTGTATAAGGACGCGTGCAACCGGAAATCAAACCAGCAGAACCTTGGCACTCTCAAATGTAGCAATTTATGCACTGAGATTGTGGAATACACATCACCCACGGAGGTAAGCTAAATATTGAAGTCACGTCTCAAAATATACCTCGCACATGTGAGGCAGCTGTAATGAGGTTTTCGTCTGTAATCCTGTTATCTCGCTTTATTTGCATTGTGGGTTGATGATCCGGTACTGTTTAAAGTGAAATAACCTTGTATCGCCTTTCTGATGACGCTGGTGTGTTGAAATGCACTGTGTAATGTATTTCAGGTAGCAGTGTGCAACTTGGCATCTATCGCTGTTAACATGTTTGTATGCCCAGACAAGACATATGACTTCGCCAGATTGAAAGAAGTTTCGAAGATAGTGGCCAGGAACCTGAACAAAATAATCGATGTTAACTACTATCCAGTTCCTGAGGTATGTCGAGCGACACGGGGTGCCCACACACATCTAGAAAAACCGATAACTTGATACGAGTTTACGTAGGTGCGAAATTATTCAATTTATGATTCATTGTAATTTACATTTAAAGTTTCTCATTTGAAAGTTTTCCATTGTATTTTTACTTCTTTTATCTTAGTTTTAAATTTCCCTCATATAAGATTTTCCTCGATTGATTTTTCAAAAGCCAGTTATTGCCGTGAAAAATAGTAAGTGGGCATTTCTTCTGTATGCGAAATATGCATTGTACGGTTATTTTAAATTTAGGGGAGATTTTAAATTCTCACTTCGACGATTATGAAGATGGCTGTCTTCTGTTGTGCAGTGCCATGTGGTGTGGTAGATATTGGCATTCGTCACCCTGATGATGGAGGCAGTAAGGTCATCAGTATCTAGCAGACTGCACTGTGCTATGTCCTAGAAGACCGATGATCATATTTGAAATTTATTTGAATATAAATTCTTTTCATAGGCACAGAAATCCAACCTTCGTCATCGTCCGCTTGGCATTGGCATACAAGGTTTGGCAGATGCGTTCATCTGCTTGAGATTACCATTTGACAGTGAAGAGGCACAGAAGCTAAATCAGCAGATATTTGAGACTATTTACTACGGGGCTTTGGAGGCAAGTTGTGAACTTGCCGAGAAACGGGGCCCATATGAGACTTACGAAGGCTGTCCAGTGAGCAAAGGGGTGTGTTTTCTTTTTTGTACTCATAGATTGTAAACTGAACATTGTATCTTCAAAGTGACCAGTCCTTAAAGCATCTAGTGATGATTTTAAGATATTATGAGACATCCGACGTTCTCTACAGTACCAAATATGAGATAACTCCGCATATCAATTTTATGCTACGATTTGGTGGAAATCGCTAAATTTTCTGTAAAATAGACATAGCATTGCATAGCATATTTGAGGGTTTTGCGTGATTCTCAGAATAAACAGCAATTATTTATTTTTCCACAAACAGCGTTAATAAGTTGACCTTTGTAGTGGAGCCACAGTGTGTTTTCTTTGCTGTAAGAATCAGATTTTTAAATATTATTTAGAAGCGCGGGTTGACTCGTTCTTTCCGATTTGTCCTGCAGTTCTGTATACATTGTCGTAATACTGCCGGTATTGTATGTTACTTCAGATACTTCAGTACGACATGTGGGATGTTGAGCCTACGTCTTTATGGGACTGGGCAGACCTGAAACGTCGTATTGCGAAACACGGCGTTCACAACTCGCTTTTACTCGCGCCAATGCCGACAGCTTCAACGGCTCAAATCCTTGGAAACAACGAGTCATTTGAACCGTATACAACAAATATCTACACTAGACGTGTGCTGTCCGGAGAGTTTCAGGTTAGTGGAGAGATTTGGCAGTGAGTTCAAGAATACTTTGAAGCCTCTTCGAGGACTCCGAGAGGGAGCAATAGTGCACCGCCAGAACCAACCAGACCACTAATCTGGCCCTTTTCAGGGTCCCGATCACATTCAACCGAACTCCCATGTCCCACCTGACGCACTTCCTGAGCTCCCCTTCTCCCTTTCCTTTCTCTCCGTCTCTCACACTCGCCCACACGGAACCAGTTTATCGCTTACATATTAGTTTCCTGTATAATTATGTTGGAAGACGTCTTGCTTATTATCAGAAAAATTAAATATTTTCAGAAAGTTTGGATAGGACTTCAGATTGGTCCTCAAGTAATTGAAAATAAGTTATAAGCATCTTAAAGTAATTCTCGATGACATGAATTTGTTGCATCCTGGAGGAGGTTAATTTTATCGCAACTGTCGCATCGTATTTTAACACTTGGATTAGTCGAAAATTCCGCTACCCACATTTAACTGTAGCAGGCATTCGCCGTGATCTCTCGAAGCGCATCATGGGGTCGTACTGTAAGTTACAGTTACGCTGTATCTTTACTTAGGTCGTGAATCATCATTTACTCCGGGACCTGACGAAACTCGGGCTATGGAGTGAGGACATGAAGAATGAGATTATTGCAAACGGAGGCTCGGTTCAGGTAAGAGTATGAATAAACGTACATTTTAGAGGAGTAATTTGTAAGAGGTAGGATAACTGACTGGTGAATATTTTCGGCATTTTTCTTCGTCTGTTAGTTTAAAAGCACTCAATGTTTATAAATTTTTGTTAAAATGTAGCTGGTTTGAATTAAATAAGAAACACAATTTTATTAAATTTTTAAGTGAATATTAAGTTAATATAAGGTAGAAAAATTTTCAGAACTTGCTCAGTGTTGATGTTCTGTCGTGTTATGTGGACTTGTAGATAGGTGTATGCCACACAGCATCAGAACCTGTAAGAAAAATATCTTTATCACTTTCCTGGCTGAAAAAAAATGTTTGAAAATGTCTGCTTTATGACTGTCCACGCAACCTTGAATATTTGTTTCGTGTTTAGGATATTGATGGAATTCCGGATGATATTAAGGCCCTCTACAAAACGGTGTGGGAAATCCCGCAGAAAACTATAATCAAAATGGCTGCTGACCGAGGTGCGTTCATTGACCAGAGCCAGTCCCTGAACATTCATATTGCCGAACCGAACTACGGAAAATTGACGTCTATGCACTTCTACGCATGGAGCTTGGTAAGTCGTAATGGCGGTTAAGGCTCTTTATACACTAAAACCCTGCCCTCGGCTTTCTCTGTGTAAATGTCTGAATAGAAATAAAAATGTTGGTCTTTATATACACATCCTTTTTAATAGCAAGTCTTAAGTACTTAATTATATTGAAGAAGTTAATATTAGATTATGTTCATGAAATGCTCGATCTCATTCAGTTAGAAACTTTTGTCTTATTTTAAATTATAAAATGTACAATACTACAGTTTTCTATTGGTTTCAAGCCTGGTCCATCACTTATAGTGAAAAACATGGATCGAAGGTACTTGAGATGTAAGTGATCTTAAACCCTTCCAAAATGGATGCTAACTGTGATTTTGAGTTGAATATATCATTAACATCGTCCATTCTATCGTTCAAGTCTTCCAGTCTGTAAGAAAATCAATACTGATTTTTCGCTGAAGACTTTTGTGTGATCAGGTATGAAAAATTTATATTTTAATTTGTTTATTTGTGGTCAAGAAATTTTCTAAGTACGCTGAAAATACCAACGCGATGCTGATGCAATTGTTTTAAGACGATGATTTCAAAAGGAATGAAACCGGCCAATACCACTCTGCTATATTTCTTAGTTCTTTGATGCTGATACCCGTGTCTGGTTTTGGCTTCTGTTGACTGTTGCGCATTAATTACATTTGTATTGCAACTTCCAGGGCCTGAAGACTGGTATGTACTACCTGAGGACCAAACCGGCAGCAACTGCATATCAAGTTACAGTCGACAAGACAAAACTGAACCGCGGCACTAATGCAGCAGCAAATTATGGAGGGGGAAACGGAGTGAATGTTGAAGAAAGAAACGAACGAGAAGATGGCTTCAATTTGGATGCAATGGTTTGCTCACTTCAGAACAAAGATGAATGTCTAATGTGTGGTTCCTAGATTAGAATATACTAAAAAGGCCAGTGGTATGTAAACAAACAGATTTTAAATCTTGTGTAACTTTGAGGGGAGGGGGGCCTAGATCTGGATTTTGTAAATTTAGGCCTGAAAAATTATATGGCATGAAAACAAAAATGCAGCTTCTTATATTTCTTACTTATTTCTTTGAAGTTGAATTTTTGAAGAAACAAAATTAGTTTCGTGCGCATTTGGAAAATTTCCAGCAATTTTCTATTTTTCGAAAAATCTTGAAAAATTTAAATAAATTTCAAAATTCTCCCCACCCAATCCCTGCCACAACCGGTGTCTGCATGACCCGGTCTCTGCTGCACCGTCTCTGACTGACCCGGAGTCTGCCGGACTAGGTCTCTGCACCAACCGTTCTCTCTATTACTCTGCCAGGACATCTCTCCAGGGACCTGGTTCAACGCACAGTGTAGGGCACAGACCGAGTCAAGCAGAGACGGGGTGAAGCACAGTCAGTCAATCAGAGGCACAGAACGTGCCAGACACAGCTGGGTGGGGCACAGACCGATTTAGCATACACTGGTTGAAGAAGAGGCAAAGTCTGGCAGATGCCAGGTGTTGAAGTTACCGTGTCCGGTATTGACCAGTTATAATAGGTATCGTGTAAGGAAAACTTTGAAAAACTTTGAAAATTTTTGAAAAATCGAAAAACCAAAAAAATTTGAAAAATTTCACATTCAAAATTTTCCAAAAAATTTGGTTTTGTGCGCTTTTCAGACAATTTCCAGCATTTTTTATTTTTCGAAAATTTTGAATATTTTTTCTAATATCTGAACAAAGAGATGCCTGCCAAACTCGGTCAGTGCCTCCACCTGTCTCTGCCGGACTCGGCCTCTATTACACCAGGTTGCTGCCTGTCTCGGTGTCTGCAACAACCGCCCTCTGTAGGTCCGTCAGCCTCACGTGTTGTCTGCCGCTTCTGGGCTTCTCAGAGACATGTAATACAGAGACCGGTCTGTGCAGAGCCCGAGTGAGGCACAGACCGCATTCGTCAGAGACACAGTACATCAGAAACTGTCCGAGAGAGACCGGTTTTGCAAGGCATCAGATGGTGGAATTTTGAAAAATTTCAAAATTTTCAATAAATCAAAAAATGCTGGAAATTGTCCAAAAAGCGCACAACACCTAAAAAATTGAAAAATTTCAACTTAATTTTTTTCAAATATTTTCAAAAAATGTTGGTTTTGTGCGCTTTTCAGGCAATTTCCAACACTTTTTGATTTTTCGAAAATTTTCAAAAAAATTTCAAAGGTCTCCTCAAGAGATGCATGCCAGGCTCGCTGAATGCCACATCCTGTCTCTCTCGGACTCGGCCTCTATCTCACCCAGTTGCTACGTGCCTCGGTGACTGCAACAACCGGCCTCTGCAGGACTGATCTCTGCATGTCGGTGACTGCCTCACGTGTTGCCTACAGCACCTGGTCTTGTCAGAGACATCACGTCAGAGCCGTCTTACAGAGACCGGTCCGAGCAGAGCCGGAGTCAGGCGCAGACCGCATTCGTCAGACAGTACAGCACTCCGACAGAGACTGGGTCTGGAAGGCATCAGATGGTGGAA